TGATGGACCTAGTGAGTTACGTTGATGAATTGGGCAATTGGCGATTCCTTACTCTTGGTTACAGGTAGGGTTGGGCAAGCGGCAGATCCCCGCGGGTTTTGGCCAACCCACCCGCATTTGACCCGAATTTCAATATTTTGGTGGATCTATGGGTGGGTGATGGGATGCGTTGGGAGCCATCCGCCGGGTGGCGGGTGTGTTTTGGGCGGGGTGCGCAGGTGACCTGCTCAACCCAATAGCAAAAAGAACAAAGTCATTGGCGTTGGAGAGGGGAGAGTGGAGACGTTAGATAGCAACTAGGGTTGCTTCTGGAGAGTGAACCTTAAAGCCAACCTTCCAAATCGCGATCCCCTCTTCCTTCCTTTATTTTTTCCTCTGAATCTTGTGCCTAGTTCACCTCTCTTTCCTCCGTTGAACTATTTTCCTTAGATCCATGCACTTGTCAATCATCTCCATTCGTAGAAAACTCCTCCACAATAGAATTTCTACCCAATTTCAGAACTAATTCGACTTTTTTTTTCCTATTTCTTCTTCTTATTTCCGCCCGATAACTCTCACCACCGATTATCATGTCAAGGTGAATCCTTTATATTGTATACATTGTGACTTGGGTGAACCCGCAAACCCACCCACATCATCCACCATCCGCCCGACCCAACCCGAGACTGCATATGGGTGGGTGGTGGGTTAAAAATTATCAATCCGTTTAAGTGCGGGTGGATGCGTTATATGGTTAAAATCCGCCCGACCCATCCAATGCTCACCTCTAGTTGTAGACAGTATGTATAGAGCTCTCGATTTTTCTTATGAACAAGGATTTGGTCTAGTGGTGATACCACTAGCTTTAATTGGAAGAAGTTGTGGGAGATTAATTCAGCAAGATATAATTGGAGAAAATCTTTACCAAAGTTGAGAAGAAACAAAATCAGGGATATTTTCGAATTTAATGAAAATAGAGAATATAAAATGAAAAAAAAAACAAATCATAGTTCACAATTAGTCTACCTCCTAGTATTTCTAATTGACCATATTTTAGATATTTAGAAAATAAGAAACCTCAATTATCATATTTTTCAAGCCAGCATATATAATACCCACATCCCCTATTATCATAGTCAAATACGCATTCCAAACTAACTTAGAGGACTTGCCATTTGTGCATAATTGATGCTTGTGATTATAGGTGTCAAAACATAGCCCGACCCGATCAACCCGACCCGCAACCCGACCGCAATCCGAATTGACTAAAAGTCAACAACCTGTAACCCGCCCGACCCCGATTGACCCGCAACCCGACTGACCCGCAACTCAATTGACCCGAACCCGACTGACCCGCAACCCGATTAACCCTAACCCGATTGACCCGAACCCAACTAACCCATAACCCGACCGACTCAACCCGAACCTCACTTAGTCCACTTAAATAATTATTATAATATACAATACATAGTTTTTCAAAATAAAGTCTTTCATTCTAAACTTAGGTAAAATTATTTTTTCATTTCGTATAGGGAATTTAAAAAATATGAAACTCACTTGATATTATGTATTTTAAGAAAATTAAAATTGAAATATGGAGGTCACTTGAACACTAAGTTCTTTAACAAAATTAAAAAAGAATATAAAATCAACATAATGTCAATATTAATAATGAAGAATTAATAATTGAGATCATGGACAATATTAATATAATATATAAATTAAATTTTTGGTTAATTCAACTATTCAATAAAATTATTAATTAAATATAAATAAAATAAAGTAATGAATTTGGTAATTTGATGTATTTAAAAGAAGAGGAAAATTTTGGTGTATTCAACTTCTTGGGAAGAGAAAGAAGAGGGAAATTTAGTTCTTTGAATTTTTTAGAAAAGAAACAAGTGAAAATTTTGGTGGTTTTGATTTGTGGGAATAGAAAGAAGTGGGAAAGTTTGGTTTTTTGATTATGAAAGAGAAATAAGAAGGGAAATTTTGAGTTTTCAACTTTTTGTGGAAGGAAGGAAGAGGAAAATTTGGTTCTTTCAATTTTATGGAAGAGAAAGAGGAGGGAAATTGAGTATTTGTAATTTATGGAAGGAGAAAGAAGGAGGGAAATTGTAGTTTTTTTTTTGTGAAAAGAAAGAATGAAACAAATTTGGTGTTTTCAACTTTTTGGTTTTTCAAAATTTTAGTCTTTGAAATATGAATCTTTAATTTTTAAATGGAGGGCATGACTAGTTAAATTTATTCTTATATGCTTTGAAGGCTAATATATATATATATATATATAAATAATTGTTTATGGGCTAATAAATAAATTAACCATTAGTTACAACAATTATACTAAACTTGATAAGTAATCTTTGACGGTTCGTTGTTTAGGGTATAAAGTATATTGGTTAGAGTAAATGATATAAGGTACAGATGGTTTAGGGAGTATATGGTTAGGGTATAAGATATTGATGATTTTGACGGTTCTAAGTTTTTTATTAACATATGTTCACTTGAAGTCATTTGATGTCTTTAACGGCAGGAGATCCTTTTTAATTTATGTTTGTGGTGCGTGGTTAGGGTACAAGGTATATGATGTAGAGTATAAGATATATGGTTAGGGTATAGCAATTAGCAAATATCACTTTTTATCTATGTTTTGAAAATCAAAGTATGAATTTCAGTTTTAAATTAACTATACTAGCAAAATCACAACTCATAAAGACATATGGTTAGGGTATAGGGTATGTGGTTAGTGTATAATGTATTGATGGTTTAGGGTATACAATCAACAACATATACTAACTTAATATTGTCGATTGAGGGTAAGGCTAAGTGTATTAGATATATGTTATTGAGTAAGTTATGATTGAAGTCCCAATAATTTTACTAGATTTGATAGTTAATCTTTAATGGTTCAATTTTCAGAATAATTCGAACAATTTTACAAATAACTAGTTTGACAACAGTTTACTGAAGTTATTTGGGCAATGAGTTATTTCGAAATAACTCCTTTTATCACTCTGCTTTTGCCTAATACCACACGCCAAATACCACATTTGCATGGTTATACTAAATGAGATACTTTAATCCAATTACACTACTGAAATAATACTAAAATATCAAATAAATAATTAATGGTATCTTTTGGTTGTAAATATTGATATCACCATTACTATTAGCTAGTGTACTTTACCAATTACGATTAATTACATAACAAGTTTGCAAGTCATACAAATTGATTTAACATTTTGACTCATTTTTTTCAAAAAATTAAGTATATATATATACGAGGTAGAAATAAATTGGTTAAAATAAATATATTGTTTTCAAATAAAGTTTTTCATTCTCAACCTAAGTAAAATCATTCACATTTAGTTAAGAAAGTTCAAAATCTGAAATTCACTTAAAATTATGGTTTTTAATTACAAAAATTATGACATGAATTTCTTTAACCAAATTACAAAAAAAGTAAATATAAAATCAGCACAATGCTAATATTTATAATAAATAATAACTAAATTCTTTTGTCTATAATAATAAACTTTATTATTGGAGAAGATAGACAGGGTAAGAACTAAGAAGTAATTTTGGGCGGGTGTGATGAAATTTTGGTTTTGGGCGGGTGTGATGAAATTTTTGGCGCCCAATTTTTTGCAAGCAGAGGGAAGGGTTTTGTGTTTTTGGTGTAATTGTAGTGGGCGGGTGATGATAAAATTTTAGGCCACTCAATTTTAGTTGTGGTGGGAAGGCGAGATTTCAAATTTCGATTGTGGTGATTTTGACTAGTTTTTCTTAATTAAGTATATATACAAGGTAGAAAGAAATTGATTAAAAACTGTGAAAAATAATTTAAATTAGTGTAATAAAATGTGTAAGTTGGTAACGAGTAAGTAACTCGATGCGTTGACCCGAACAACCCGCAACCCAATCCGCCCGCAACCCGCCCGGTCCGAAACCCGATGAACCCGAACCCGATTTGCCCGTAACACAATTGAACCCGAACTCGATCAACCCGCAACCTGACTAACCCGCAACCCGATTAAACCCAAACCCGATTGAACCCGAACCGACTAACCCGCAGCCCGATTGAACCCAGCCCAAACCCGCCCGAACCCGCCCGATTGACACCTATACTTGTGATCATAACATTGATGATCGTACGACACGGTCATTGGTTATTGATAATGATGTGCACATGTTCCTGATAACAAAAGTAAAAATTAAAATTTCCCAACCGAGTTTATCAAAAGGCAGTCGCCTGCTGAAATGTGTACTTCTACAGCACTGCTTTGCCATGTCCAGAATTAATGCAAGAATGTTACAAACAAAAATTGTTGATGACTTTTTCCTTCTTCGTGAATTATTTTCCCGGGTGGGCAATCACATCAACAGCAACGTCTTTATGAGTTCCGGTGGCAAATTACTTGAAAGACCTACAACATTAAAGTGTATCTATCCTGGCACAGAGTTGATCTCCTACCAACCTTACCTTGTTGTCACCATTCCATTCTTGTTTCAATTTGGTATCTAACATTGTGTTAGAACGTTATATAAAATATTACATACTACACATTACAAATACATGATATTTTGAAATACAATTTTATTCTACAATACATGCTTGTCAAAAAACGATACCATCTTCAAAATTACTTGTAATTCATACTTTGTGACTTGTACTCTAGATTGGCATATTCACGTTTATGAGAAGTGCAAAGTAGCGACCCCTATTCCCCCAACGGCCAACAAGAATTGATTTGAATGTCTACTCCATTAGTACTGCTCAATGCTCATGTTCGTGACTCGGCTGTTTATTGCACCAACTTTGGTCCATAAAGTAAGTGTTAATCCGTTAGACTCACCGCACTATAGTGATCACAATTTCATTTTGTAACTTGTTGCGGCTTTTTCCATCATTACTTGAATTTTGTAACACAATGTTAATGCGTTCATTCAACAATCGTAAAATGTCTGTGTATGATCCAACAAATATAAATATGTATCATGTGAGGTTGTGAATGCATTCTCAGTCTCACAAATAGCTAGATGAGCTAAAAACGCCACTCCAGTTTTTGCAGTACATAAATAAGCCCCACTAACTATCTCCGTCCGTCCTTTCCGGCCCTCTAGCTCATTGGGATTCCAACCCCATCTTCCATCGTTTAATTTGGATCGTTGGATTCCTTTCTCTTCCTGCAGACGGTGAAAATTGAAAAATTAAAAAAAAATATCCCCCGACAATTTCAAAATTTTGAAAAATTCCAGAAAATGAAAGCCCGAGAAATTAAACAATAACCCCCCACTCGACTTAAACCCGGATCTCCGCCATTTCCTCTCCTTCCCCTGCTCTGAAACTGAAACCACCACACAGAAAAAACAAAAGAGAATGAAGAGCAGCGCCACCGCGAAGCTTATCGTCTTCCACCCATCCATCCACAAATCTCCGCCGCCGCCTCCCCCTCCCCCCTCTCCCAACCGCCACCGCCTCTTCTTCATCCTCACTTTCTTCACCCTCGCCTTCACTCTCACTCTCTTCTCCACCGCCACCATCCCTTCCTCCGTCTCCTCCACCACCGCCGCCTCCTCCACCCTTCTCCCGGACACCATCGCCTCCGCACTCCTCCACTACGCCACCACCAACGCCACTTCCCGACACATGACCCCCGCAGAGCTCTCCATCGTCGCCGACGCCCTCCGCCGCTGCTCCTCCTCCTCCTCAGTTTGCAACTTCCTCGTTTTCGGCCTCTCCCACGAGGCTCTCCTCTGGAAATCCCTCAATTTCGCTGGCCGTACCGTCTTCCTCGACGAGAGCGAGTACCACGTCTCCAATTTCGAGAAGCACCACCCGGAGATGGAGGCCTATGACGTCCAATTCGCCACCAAAGTAGACGAAATGTCAAGCCTCCTCTCCTACGCCGTCGCTCGCGCCGATTCGGACTGCCGCCCCGTCCAGAACCTCCTGTTCTCCGACTGCCGCCTCGCCATCAACGATATGCCCAACCACATCTACGATATCGACTGGGACGTCATCCTCGTCGACGGCCCCCGCGGCTTCTCCCCTGATTCCCCCGGCCGGATGTCCGCCGTCTTCACCGCCTCAGTCCTCGCCAGGACCGGCGGCGGATCCGGCAAGAAGAAGACTCACGTCTTCATTCACGAGATCAGGAGGGAGGTGGAGAAGATTTACAGCGACGAGTTTCTCTGCCGCCAGAATTTGGTGGAAACTGTGGATTCACTCGGTCACTTCCTCGTCGCCAAAATGCCCGCCGATCACTTCCAGTTCTGTCCCAATTCGAGATCTCTGCCGTCCTCTTCGTCGCCGTCAGTGACTATGGTGAATGACAGTTGATCGAATCTCATCTCAGATGCTTGTGAGAGTCGCTCTGATTGCAAAGTATCGTTACGATTCACGTCGCCATCTTTTTTTTTTAATTCTTTTTATTAATCTTTTTCGCTAAACAGGCTGCCCAATCTAATGATGGAAAAGTCAAGAAACGAATTCCATCATCTCCTTTTTCTCGGATGATTTCCGCCTTTGTTCCCATCCTTCTCTCGCTCTGCTCGGCCTGTTTGATTTCCGGGAAAATCCGAGAAAGAACTCCTTTTTCGACAATCGCATGTAAAGCAGCTCTTAATTAGTAAATATTATAATATTATGTCGTTGATAGCCACCTAATCTGGATTTCACGCTTTATTAACATTCCTTAATTTTCTCGACTACCAAATGGGAAAAGGAAAGGGAAAGGAACTTGAGCTACCAAATATGTGTCGGTGCGGGTCAGGGAAGGAGAATGTGACCTCACCGTTCCCTTAGCTAAGTTTATATTAATTATATAAATATATTATTTAAAAGCAATCACGCGCTGCGGTGTAGTACTGAGGGTCAACGCGTGGTTCCATTGGATAAATCGGGTCGCGTGCGGATGAGGAACCGAACAACAGAAGGTTCGAGGATGGGGATGGAGATTCTGATCCGACAGCGTATTGAAAGATGGACTAGGCGGGAGCAGGCCGGCCTGCTGCGGCAGCAGGTGGAGGGCAAAGAAACTAACTTTAGCCGCTTTGGCGTAAGAAAGTGTCACGTGGGCCACGTGACTAGAGCGTACGTTATGGGATTGCTGCAGACTTGTACTGTGTCGGTGAAGGGTTACGTACGTGTTATCACTAGGAAGGGAATTGAATTGAACTATTGGACAAAGCCGGAAACCATCTATAAACCTCATGTCCAATGGGTTGGTTCGGGTTTGGGTTTGGTTTCAGTTAGGATCGCTACGAATTGGATTGGGACGGATAGTAACTATTCATTATCCTATTTTAGTTCATATTTTATCTACGCAAAATACATTTAGTTAGCCATAAATATCTACATTTTGACAATAATTCACTTTTTGAAGAATATTGCGAATAACCACATTTTAAAAAAATGTTCGACAAATTTAATCATTTTCGTTAAAAATATTGACGGATTTAAAGATGTGGTTAATGTTGTCAACAATAAGCCGGGGTGGACGCCAACTTAGCACCCACGTCAACTCCCAATCGCCATGTCACGACACATGTACAGGTTTTCTTTTAAGTAAAGTGTCATAGTGAATTTCCCCTCTTTCCCAAAAAAGAAAGAAGAAGAAATGTCATAGTGAATTTCCCCTCTTTTTTTTTGGGAAAGAAGAAGAAAGAAATTCGATATTCTCTTATATTTATTACGACAACGAACAATCAAATTATCACTATATTTATTCCTTTTTCTACTTCTTCTTCCAAGTGTAGGATAACCCCCAAAGGTTGCAGGTTTTTTTTACCAATTGGGGCCCTCCCTTCACCACCCCATGGCGATGGTCTACAGGGTTTATAAATACTCCTCTTACTACAAGACGCTTGCCTAGCCAACATTTAGATCCTGCTTGTTTGCATTTATTGTGACTCTTTATTCATGAGTATTGGAATTGGAACAGTCTTTTACGACAGAACGCTTACCTTACCATACGCCACTCCATTTTTTTATTTATTTAGATCTTTAATTAGTTGGAGTTTGGGGCATGATACTATGCCCTAACCTCTAATGGGTGAACCTCAGTCCTCAATTATCTAACCCAAATCGTAAGATTCGTTTAATCTCAAAATGAAAGCCAACGGTGTTGATTCACCGAAATTATCCAAGTACAAATAATAGGTGGGCGTATGCTAGCCTTTGTCATAGTATGTATATATATGAAAACGAATCCATCTTTTTTTTTCTCCATAACCAATATTTTCATTTACGATCCACTTTTTATCAGTTCCTTCTTGAGCGAAAGTATTTCTATGGAGAAATACAACAATTTGCAGAAGTGTTTGATAATTATTTTCTGGCCAATCTGTTACACTATGTTTGGGAACGGGTGCAAGTTTGGAGGGGTAAACACAAGTTCCAAGGTGTTTACCCCCGTTTGGTTATTTTGTAACAGTAGGGTGGTGCAAAACGTGAGCGTAAATTCACTGTTTCGGCTTACCCCCCAAATTGGGGTGCAAGGAAAGGAAGGAAGGGAGGGGGAAGGAGGAGGAGGGGAATTATGAATTTTTAATTAGATTATAATTACATAATAATTAATATTATTAATTTTTTATTATATCTATATTATTGTAGAAGTTGTTTGGGGTTGACCGTTTGACTAAGAGAGCAAGTTTGTCAATGTTCGCCTCGTCAAATCGATATCTCTTAGTTGACCCGAATTTGCATTGAAAATTAAAGATAAGAAGCATTTGTTGAAAAGATAGAGAGGAACAGTTTAGTTAACTCGATTTACTTTAATAAGTAGTTAAAACTTACAGATTCGAACGTGTTTGACTAAGTTTGACCATATTCAATTTAAAGTTAGGCACGAGAACCCCCTTAGGATGACCAGTTACGAGTTGGATTTCGAGTTTCGAGGTTGCTCGACCAATGATTATTATTGTTGTTATAAATAATTACATTTGAGCATTATTATATAATAATTATTTTTATTAAAATTATTTTTATTTTTTATTTTTATTATTATATATTGAATTTTCATGTTATTATTTTGTGATAATATTTTATAAATTGATAAATCTATTTTATAATAATATAATTACTTACTTTTTACTCTATTTGCACCCCCCTACTTTTTCATCCAAACAACAATTTACCCCTCCACTTACACCCTCCACCAAGTTGCACCCCCCAACAATTTACCCCTCAACTTGTACCCCCTTCGAACTTGCACCCCCCTTGTTGCCAAACATAGTGTTAGTGTTTAAGGATTCATTCATGCATTATGCTAGATATCCAGGAAAATACATTTTAGTTTCAAAGGGTATGCATTTTCTAATTATAAAATGGAAATAATGTCTTGTCAATTTATACCAATCTCATTTTTATTTGTGGTCCCAACCAACAAATATCTATTTATACTCATTATCCAAACATTCTATCCATTTTAGGCTATTTTCCGAAAGGAGCACCTGTAGGGATTTGACAGTCGAATATGCGATAGAAGGTTGAATTCTACCTAGTTCAACAAGTGATGATTCACTTTGATTTCAGTTCTTTCCCGAGATAGATTGTTCATTTAGAAGTAGAGAGGGAATCACTCAAAGGTAGCTGCCCCATCTGCAGTCGTTACCCAAGTAGCTTAAGCTATGTGAGTAGTTTCATTATAGATTGTGAGAATATAATCCATTTCATTCATCTTAGTAGCTAATGAGAATAAAAAGCCTTCAGATAAAGGGGGACTCTACATTGGTTCGTCAAAGGATCTGAATGTTGAAGGTTTGGTAGTTAAAAAGGACAAGAGGGGGATGCGCCTTTTGTCCTTCGTGTCAGATAAAAATACTATTGATTTAAAATTATTTGTAAAAAATATATTGTTGTTTTTTATTAATTATGAGGAGCAAAATAACCAATTATAGTCGACACAGGGTTTTTTCGCTAGTTGTTTGACGTTGCTGCTTGTGGTAGTGGAGGAAAGCCGATTTTCATCGGTGATGGTGAACGACAAAGTAGTGATGATGTTGCGGCCCTCTTTAAAAGTGGTAGAACCACCCGATTCATTCTCCTCTTGTTGGGTTGTTTGTCGGTCATAGGGACGAAAACTTCATGATTCAGCAATGACGGAGAGAAATAGAGGCTTAAACCCGTCGACAGCGGCAGAAAGAACAAAGGCTGGCAAAGTAATAACGATGTTTTTGGATGAGTTCTCGCCCAGTAGACTTAGGAGTAGGAGGGGTTTAATGAAGCTTTTATATTGAAAATTGTCGTAGTGTGAATTAGGGTTCTTTAGTTTCTAGATTAGGTATTGTTCCATCATCTCCCTTCCTTCTCTCGACGGAGATGCGAAACAAAAACAAAAACAAAACAGGTTAAATCTCGATCTAATGTACTAAATCAAACAAAAATGAGCATGCATGTGAGATGGAGCTTACCAAAGGGCGAGATCTCTCCGTTGCCGCCTCTGTTCTAAATGGAAGGAAGAGATCGAGGTCGGGGCTAAACAGATCTAGTATTCCCCCTCGATTTTGTGCCGATTTCCGGAAAATAAACAATGAAAATGATTAGAATCGCGAAACCCCTAAAAATCAGACCTAAAGATAATAGAAAATCACAAAAAAGGGGGAAGGCAAACCAACCTTTGGTTTTAGCCTCGACGTCGTTGCTGGCGGTGCATCGTTCAGATCTCCATCGGCGACACCCTTCATCGTATCCCCTTTATGTATCCAGAAGCAATGAGAAGGGGAGAATGTGGGGAGGAGTAGAGGAGAAGGTTCGCGCCGCCATCCCTCTTATTTAGAGAGACGACAAGAACACTAAGAGAAGGAAGGAGCAGAAGGCGCCGCGGGTCGGCTAGGGTTTCGTTGCCGTTGGAAGAGAGATGGAGGGGGAGAGTGGCGGCGTGGTTTGATTCGGCTAGGGTTTCGTTGGTTTGATCTCTGGACGAGAAGAGAGGTGAGACGAGGGACGAGAGACGAGGGACGAGAGAAGAGAGATGTGAGAGCGGCAGCCTTGGCTGAGGGTTTAGTTTGATTAGGGTTCCTTTAAGAAGAATTTATACCCACCCGAAAAAAGAAAAAATTACCCCTAGGGTTTATCGTTAATTACGTGGCCTTGCCTCCGTATTTCTGAGCAATTACGAAACTGCCCCTCCCCTTACTCTGAAACAAAAAAAGCGACGATTAAAAATGGGGTGTGCGGGTTTCAAACCCTCGTTCTGCAGAACAAATGCGCTTTGTGGCTAGCAAATTAGCCAGTTGGGCTGCTGGCCCATCATGCATCAATTTAACCATCCCGCTTAGTTTTATTTGTTTAAAACTCCTTAATACGAAATGTGAAATGCGGATTAAGTTAGTTTTGCTTCTTGTCTGATACATCGAATTTCTTCTTAATGATTAAAATTCTTGCATTCATCTTAGTAACATCATAATAATCTAATGGAAATTTTATTAACAAATTTATGATGCAAAAATAACGTTCAGTGGAACGTGATAAAAGTCAGGATTAAAACTATCAAAGTTAACAAAACCCTTAATACGAGAGCCACTATAGGCGTAACGTGACAAAAGTCATACAATTAAATAATCAAAATTCAAACAAACTACGTGGACTTTGATCCCATCTAACAGGTACGTAGGACTCGATAAGGTTTGAGTCCAACTAACCAATT